ATATTTATTTTATTTCCTGTTCAGTATAATGCATCAGTAGAACAAACGAAAGATGTACGTTCTCCATCATTTTAATTAATTAAGCTTGATTTTCATTGTTCTGAAGGACAATTTATATTAATTTGTCGAGATGAATAATTTCTCATATTGAAAACTTTTATCTGTTTATTATTTTGTGTTACTTACTACAGGCTCACATGTACCACCTTTCATGATCACGTCCTTGGTCTACATCATTTTTGTTGAACACCTAACTTCGCATCAGTATTCCATCTTGAACACATTTAACTTCTGATTAGATTGGTAAATCTTACATCACGCAGTATCATATATTCAGAAAACGTGTTCTTACAAAATATCGGCAGATTCTTATTACTAATGTTTGAAATCGAAACTTCTAATATCAGTTTGAACTATCATTAATCTTAATAAATAATCGAGTACAACCCAAATCATGAGAAAGTAATTCAGTGAATATTAAGACGAAAAATAACCTAAATGAAGAGAAAGAGTAGAGTTGAAGTCGTCAACATCTTACTGAAAATCAACGTTATTAATCAAGTGAAGAGCAGATGAAATTTATAATTAGTGCCAATATACAAAGGTACAGTTATATTAGTGCTCTGGATTTAATAAAATTCATCAACTGATAAGATTGTAAAGTTCCTGTCAAGTCATTCTGAAAGAATTTACATTTCTGATTAAATTTTATCAATCTCTCTAACTCTTTCTCAACATATATATATATATATATATATATATATATATATATATATATATATATATTATAGAAAGTCAATCCACAAGATGTAAGTTGAATTTCAAGTTATTTTGACATTTTGATAAGGTTCACATAGACACCTTTACAATGATATTTGAATACATGAATGGGAAACGAGTTATCATTTATGTTTAATTTTCCACCAGTAACTGTTATATTCAATCACCAAATAAGTATATCAACTCCAATGATGACATTATACATAGTGTAAACATATACGAAAACCTTATATGCGAGTAAATTCCTTACAAATTTCAAAGATACTTCCTCAAAGATACTTCGAACTCAGGACCTACTGGCTTTGCGCGCGAGCACTTAACCACTACACCACTGAGCCGGCATCCAACGGTTCGGTATATGGGTTCGAATCCGGCGTGGTGCGGGATCGTGGATGCGCACTGCTTAGGAGTCCCATACTAGGACGAAACTGCCGTCCAGTGCTTCCAGGTTTTCCATGGTGGTCAAGCTTCAGTCGACTCATGATTTCAACCTGTATTCGTTGGATATTTGCATTCTGAAGAATGAGTAGTAATCATGAGGTCTCTATACTGATTTTATATGAATTTCGAAATGGTACACGATTGATAATGCTATTATGAAAACTGTTTGGAATTGACAACGTAAATAGCCGTTCGTTAATTTGATTATCTTTATGGTAAAAACAGGTTCACAGAATCATCTAGTATATCATATTTATAAAATTGTGTCTAAATTGAAGACAATATTGATGAAACAGTTTTCAATCAAACAAGTAATGAAATATATACATTCACTTCAGTTCACGAATATGAAAGTCGTTACACATCAGCCAGTCTTCATTTGTTCTATTAACCCGTGAAGTTAGATCAGATTACTAAATTCACCCAACATTGATCTTGCTCTAGATTCTCCTTTAGAATTAGTTGACATTATTCAAGTTTTAGGTAAGTGACTTAGATTAGCCTATGTTCAGATCATTAATTCTTACCACATTCTTGAAAACTTAGTTTAATGATGTTGCTTTATCCACATAACTTATAACAATATCTCCGACGAATGATTCTTTATGTGATTAGAAAATGATTATTGAACTCTCATAATTTTATCTGTCAAGTGCAGAAAGTAAAGAGGTTTCAGTTTAACATCTAACCTACTCTGACTTTACATAGCAGAGAAATATCTTTGTTTAGTTGTTGTTAAATCGAATCAATATTTAAATGATATTAATGGGATTATTCGTATTTCTATAGTAAATGTTTCTGCAGATAAAGTGAGTACATTAACCTGAATGTTGATGCAAAATGAATTTTAATTGAAGTTCATAAATTCACGAAGGTCCGTAGTATTATTTAACATAGTATATTTCCATCGCTCAAACTACATATCAATATAGCCACTTTATTTATTCGTTAATGGAATAGGCTTTTATAAAATACCGAACACCATGCAATTAAGTATATTACAGCAATTTTGCGCTTAACCGTTAACATGTGTATGTTGATACATGTAGATTGGAGTCAAGTAATCGAAATCTGTCAGTAATTTTGTTTATAACTATATCACAATGGTCGAATAAAATCATTTCAAGGGTCGGATACGAGTAAATAATGAACAAAGATAGTTTAACACTTATTTGGTAATAACTGTGGAACAAATCGCGAATCAGTCTTTCTGATGTTGTTTAGAAGGTGAATACAAATGTTTGTTGAAGCATTAGACAAATGAACTTCGTCATTGTCTTCATAAACAGATTGCACTGAATTTGTATCTAATTTGTTAATAATTAATTCAGGTGTAATAATCTGAGTAATGACTTCCCTACCAACTATATTTCTAACGTTCCTAATTATCTATCGGACTCTATAACTTCTCAAAATAGAAAGCACTTAGAGGTTAATGTAGGGTCAGAAGATTCGGATAAGACTTTGCTCATATATCACGTACTTATCACAAACTTTGTCTTCTCGTTTCATCTGGATGTCAGAGTAAACTAATTTTAACAAAGTTATATGCAATTGTTGAGGTGAAGAATTGGTATCTGAACAGAACTGAACGTCTGCAAATACCTAGGCATCTCTGCATTTCGTTCAGAAATCTGATTATCTATCTTCATCCATGTATCTTATACTAGATAATCAATATAACTAATGGATTAACTTGGGTGGATATAATTTTGATAAGAATTTTGTTTGAAGTGACTAATTGGTTTGTTACATTAATTTATGAGTATGTCGCAAAATCCATGGTTACCAAAACCATGAATAGACGTTTCTAAACAGTTATCCACCGACGAGTTTACTGTAGTTTTTGGATAAACAAAACATGATGATCTTTTCGATAATTCTATTTGATTTCATATGTTTGCTGTTCTTGTTCATTCACATGTAACTTAAGCTATTTTGTATATGTCCGTAATAGTAAGTATGATTCTATCATCCTACCTGTACTATATTCGAGGTTTAACCTCATCTTTATAATGATTTCTAGTTAAATATTGCGAGTAGTGTTACTATCACATCATTCTGCTCACGTTATCTGTTACAATCTGTTTGGACTAATGAATGTTCGAAATCTAAACTTTCGAAACTTGTTTCTTATTTCTCATAGACATCATTGATGCCATTTAAAAGAATTAAGCACAATTATCATCATCCATACTCATCAATAGAGTCCAATATTAAAAGTAATATTCAACTGCAAATATGAAATATGTAAATTATGAATCTGAATTAGTTTGAATAAAATTAGTTACAGGAGACCTTCTAGGTCAAATGATTCACTCGTCGGTTACTGTTTATTGGATGCATCTCTTTGGAACTGTTATCAAAATTACAGAGTGGTCATGTCATGAATTAGTGATTAATCACCTGCTAAATCAAATCTGTAATATGAAATGTCATACTTGTAAAAAACTATGGCAATTTATTTGATTGGCACTTTCGTTTTGTCACATACAAAAATAACTAGAAAGAATGTTAATCTGGTTACTTTTTTAGACCCATTTATCACAGCCCAGCAATTGTGTTAATTTTCTAGTCTATTCAATCGAGTTAAATAGGAGAAGTGACTTATATACATTTTGTATTGTTTATTTGAAACTTTCCATTGATGTCGCTTATTGGTAAATGTGTGTCCTGTACGGATTGTCTCGATATTGCTAGCCATCACCCATCTCTCTTTATTAAAATTAACTTATTCACAAATTAACTCCGCCTGGAGTCCCTCCGGGGGCTACTGCCGGTCCCAAGCCCGGATAAAGGAGGAGGTTTGGTCATGGGGTTAGCGTCCCCATCCCGTAGAAAACTAACTCGCTAAAAAAACGCTAATCAGAAAAAAGTATTCAAATCTTTTAAACTCTGCCCTGGGAGTCAGAAGGTCTTCATTTGGAAGAATTATGACGCCTCATCATGAAAGCCGAATTCCTTCGGAAGTTACGAGGCCGATGCCCCTTCTGACAACCAGAGCGACCATTTATTTAGGTACATAAAAATGTTCGTACAATGTGGGACACCGGAAGAGCCTTCCAGATTGCTGCATAAATGAGAAGATACAACCTAGATGTGCTTGGGATCAGTGAAACACATTGGACACAAGTTGGACAACAACGACTAACTACAGGAGAGCTCCTGTTATACTCCGGCCATGAAGAAGAAAATGCACCACATAGACAAGGAGTTGCATTGATGCCGTCCAAACAAGCGCAAAATGCGCTTATATTATCGGAATCTCATGGACCAAGGATCAACAAAGCCTCCTTCAAAACAAAGAAAGAGGGCATTTCAATGAACATCATCCAATGCTATGCGCCTACCAACGACTACAATGATGACGCTAAAGATCAATTCTACAATAGGCTGCAGTCGATCATCAAGAAGTGCCCAACAAAGGACCTGACCATTCTGATGGGAGATTTCAGTGCCAAGGTTGAAACGGACAACACTGGATATGAAGACATCATGGGACGATACGGACTTGGAGAAAGAAACGAAAATGGTGAGAGATTTGCAAATCTATGTGCCTTCAATAAGCTGGTCATAGGCGGTACCATATTCCCACATAAACGCATTCACAAAGCCACATGGACTTCACCGGATCACTCTACACAAAACCAAATCGACCATATTTGCATCAACAAAACGTTCAGGAGGACTATAGAGGACATGAGAACCAAGAGAGGAGCTGATATAGCATCAGATCATCACTTGCTGGTCGCCAAGATGAAATTGAAACTCAAGAAGCACAAGACAATGGGGCGGACAATATCACGAAAGTTCAATACGGCCTTTCTTCAGGACACTGACAAACTCAACAAATTCAAGATAGTCCTCAGCAACAAGTTCCAGGCCTTTCATGATATACTCAATGGAGAAGGAACTACTGTGGAGAGCAACTGGAAGGGGATTAAAGAGGCAATCACTTGAACATGTCATGAGGTCCTGGGTCACATGAAGCACCATCACAAAGAATGGATCACTGTTGATACACTGGATAAGATTCAAGAAAAAAGGAACAAGAAGGCAGCAATCAATACCATTCGAACAAGAGCATAAAAAGCCAAGGCACAAGCTGAATACACAGAAGTTAACAAACAAGTGAAGAGGAGCATCAGAACCGACAAACGTAAATATGTGGAAGATTTAGCAACGACGGCGGAAAAGGTTGCAAGAGAAGGAAACATGAGACAACTGTATGACATAACAAAGAAACTCTCTGGAAATCGCCGCAAACAGGAACGACCAGTCAAAAGCAAGGAAGGCGAGGTAATCACCAACATTGAAGAGCAACAAGACAGGTGGGTAGAACACTTCAAAGAACTCTTGAGTCGACCAGCTCCACTGAACCCACCCAACATCGAAGCAGCACACACGGACCTCCCAATCAATGTTGGCCCACCAACAATTGAAGAGATCAGCATGACCATCAGACAAATCAAGAGTGGCAAAGCAGCAGGACCGGACAACATCCCAGCAGAGGCACTAAAAGCAGACGTAGCGGCAACTGCAAGGATACTCCACATTCTCTTCAATAAGATTTGGGATGAGGAACAAGAACCAAAAGACTGGAAAGAAGGACTTCTGATCAAAATACCGAAGAAAGGCAATCTCAGCAACTGTGATAACTACATGGGCATCACTCTTCTCTCAATACCGGGAAACGTCTTCAACAGGGTATTGTTAAACAGAATGAAAGACTCCGTAGATGCCCAAATTTGAGACCAACAGGCAGGATTCCGTAAGGATAGATCGTGTACAGACCAAATCGCAACTCTACGGATCATTGTGGAACAATCACTTGAATGGAATTCATCACTCTGCATCAACTTCATCGACTACGAAAAGGCATTTGATAGCTTGGACAGAACAACACTATGGAAACTTCTTCGACACTACGGCGTGCCTCAGAAGATAGTCAATATCATACAGAACTCATATGATGGATTACACTGCAAAATCGTGCACGGAGGACAGTTGACAAAGTCGTTCAAAGTGAATACCGGTGTTAGGCAAGGTTGCTTACTCTCACCGTTTCTCTTTCTCCTGGTGATCGACTGGATCATGAAGACGTCAACGTCTGAAGAGAAGCGCGGGATACAATGGACATCTAAGATGCAGTTGGATGATCTAGACTTCGCAGACGATCTGGCTCTACTATCCCAAACGCAACAACAAATGCAGGAGAAGACGAACAGTGTAGCAGCAGCCTCAGCAGCAATAGGTCTCAATATAAACAAAGGGAAAAGCACGATTCTCCGATACAACACAGGATGCACCAATCCAATCACAATTGAAGGAGAAGATTTGGAAGATGTAAAAACCTTTACATATTTGAGCAGCATCATTGATGAACAAGGTGGATCTGATGCAGATGTGAAGGCGCGGATCGGCAAAGCAAGAGCAGCATATTTACAACTGGAGAACATCTGGAACTCGAAACAACTGTCAACCAACACCAAGGTCAGAATTTTCAATACAAATGTCAAGACAGTTCTACTGTATGAAGCGTAAACTTGGAGAACTACGAAAGCCATCATCCAGAAAATACAGGTGTTTATTAACAATTGTCTACGCAAAATACTTCGGATCCGTCGGCCGGACACTATGAGCAACAACGTACTGTGGGAGAGAACAAACCAGATCCAAGCGGAGGAAGAAATCAGGAAGAAGCGCTGGAAGTGGATAGGACACACATTGAGGAAATCACCCAACTGCGTCACAAGACAAGCCTTCACATGGAATCCCGAAGATCAAAGGAAAAGAAGAAAACCAAAGAAAACATTAAGCCGAGAAATGGAGATAGACATGAGAAAAATGAACGAGAATTGGATGGAACTAGAAAAGAAGGCCCAGAACAGAGTGGGTTGGAGAATGCTGGTCAGCGGCCTATGCTCCATTGGGAGTAACAGGCGTAAGTAAGTAAGTAAGTAAGTAAGTATTCACAAATTATTGTTAATATTATTATTATAAAACCTGCCAACGTTTTGAGAACGTTATTTTTTACCTGATTCATATTGTTTGAGTCCTGGAGTGAATATCGACTATGAGAAGCAGATAAATATAGTCGACAGGTCCCAAACGGTACGAAACGCGCGTCAAACTAGATTCAACCGCTAGACACCATCCATCTTTGCTTAGTAATTTAAATAGTTGTGTTTATTATATCCTATATATTTTTATATCTTTTACATATTTTCCCATTTACTTAAGATAAACACGGAATAAATATTGATGAACGGACGAAACATAGACGAGGTAATGTTTAAACTGTAACAGACATCGTCTTACCAGTTCAAAATGATGTCTTGCCAGAACGCTTTTTAATAGTTCTGCAATGTTATATTCAAATAATAGAATAGATGGGTAATTGGCTAATCTAGGAAAGAATCTCACAAATGGTGGATTTCCGAATAAAGTAATCACGAAGTGTGGAAAATAAAATGACATTAAAAATCTGTCTTCATCCGGCTTTCGTTCAAGAGAGATGAATTGTCAAAAAGTAAAGATTAAATGATAAAGATGGCTTTGAAAGTAAGCCTCTACACTGCTGAACAAGATCCTGAGATTATTCCTAGGAATCTACTGCTGAAATAGAGTAAGGTGTTTATATTGCGATTGTCAGGCATCTTTCGGATAGTGAACATGAACTGAGTATAAGTAATGCATTCGAAATAATTAGTAGACAAAAATTTCCATGCCTCCAAGTGTTTCCGACCCGAACAATGCATATAAAATCGATGTGTCATTAGCTTTACTCTGACGTGCTGACTGGGTGTTTATCGGGTAAAATTTGTTAATTTTTTTCAACTATCCATTTCTAAAGTTAACTGAAATCCATCTTTTATAGATATTGTCATATTTATTTCGTTTTTCCCTACGTAATCAGCCAATAGTTTCATTAGTCTTAAGTAACTTTGTTTAACCTGTTTATGACTCCCAGTAACTGAAACATCTATTATATTCTACCTGACTACAGTTCAACATAAAATTACACAATGATCATAACACTGTCGATTCATGCAGTGTGTGTAATCTTCAGTTTCATATTATGATGCTGATTAAGTTTAGAACGTTTTCATGTCCAACGAAGAAGACTAAGTGACACATTCGATAACAATTTTATAAATAATTGTGATTTTGAACTGTGCTAAGTCGGTTTTACATTCACTGTCCTTATTCACTTCCCGTCCACTCCTTTGCGCATTGTTTTATACTACTTATTTATATTCAGTAAATAGTTGTACTCCCAGCAATTTTTACGCATATGTTGTAATGCAATTTTGCCGCGGAATAGTCTGAAATATTTACATATACTTATAATATTGTATTGTATTCATCATTATAATTACATTATCTCAATCACTGTAGCAATTATCCATAAGTTTGGTTGAACGAAACGGGTTCCATATCGTACGCTGTTGCTTAGGTTTTCGCTTGTTGATAAACTGTTCCCAAGTTTAAACAGAAGAGTGAGTTCATAAACAAAGTTCACAGTCATTTCTGATAAATGTACAAACTATGAGATTTGACAGAATAAATGCAAATTATATCGAAAACGTTTTACAAAATAAATTTGTCGTGCCTATCCCCACAACCTTTAATTCTTATAAAAATACAATTTTATCATCCTATTACATTCACGTTGTAATTCGTTACTCACCTGGTTATTCCCTATTAAGTAAGAAAGATTAGTTCAGCGAAGAGTTCACTTCTCGACGAAATCATTTTCAGCGCTGCACAACAGCAAATATAGATACTTATTTTACAGGATGATACAAATTATAATAATACTGATAATAAACTTCTGTTAGACATGGTGACAGTGAGGTCAAATAAACAAAGGTATTAAAAAAATGTTTTTTTAAGAAACAAGGAAAGTTCATTATTCGTTTGATTATTAATGGTTTAAGTATTCATCAAAAGATAGATAAGGAAAATTATCATTGGGAAAAGATGGCTCAGCTTGATAGGATAAAATGTTAGAACTGAAATTAAATGTAATCAGGATGATCATAAAAACAGAAATAAACCAGTTGGGGTTAAAAGTTTCAATAGGAAGGTGGAGCAGATGGCTGTTAAGGAAGAAGAGTGTAAAGACAGGGAGAAAAACGAAAAAAATTATAAGACATTATGAGCAAGATAGAAGAAGAGGTTGTACCAAGCTCTTCTGCACACACAATTTTGATTTTTCCAGATTTATGGATATTGCTTCAGCAATGCAAAAATAATGCAATCTAATTGTCTTTGGAAGACTTCTACCTACCATGTAGATCAATTTGAACACAGAGTCTGTCTTGATTGAGTGACCTGTGTTCGCAAGGTGTTCGATTATTGAACTTCTTATTGAGCCATTGTTTCCCGCTTTTAGCCACACGGGATAATGTTCTTGAATTCTTTCGGATAAAGTAAAGTACGCATCAAACGACCTATATACCTAGCTCCACATTAGCAGGTAAATTGGTAAATGCACATTAAATTGTTCAGATGCGATAATTTATGTTTAAGATTATTGGTGAACACTGATCGGCTTGAGAATAGTGTTGGCGATATTGCTGTGAAGAATGTTCGTTTATAGAATCAGAAATTCTCCTCTCTAAGATGTATATGGCTGTGTCACCCTGAAAGTCGACGTTAATGTATAATGTTTTTATTTCTACTGTAATTATTTGTGTTTTCGGCTTTTTCCATTTTATATTTTTGTCAATGAATATCGAGTTTCTCATTCAGGAGTCCGAATTCTTCATTTATGAATTCGCGACTTCAGATTCTCTGTATTCTTGTGGTGAATGTTATTATTAAGTTTCTTTTTCGACTGATGGGGACCCAGCTGCGGAATCTTGATAGTTGGTCATTCCACATATGTTTCCCATAGATAGATCTTTTAAGGATACCATCTTGTTTTCTTTTCATTTCCACATCAAGGAAGTGAATTTTTTTGTTTGTTTCCAACTTCTAGTGTGAATTTTATTGCTGGGCGACATTTATTAAATGTCTTTAGAAGATGACTCAAGTCATCTTTCTTGTCACAAATGATAGAGATATCACATACATACCTTTTATGCAAGTGGTTGTTTCCTATGATCGTTTTGAGTTGGTTGTTTTCTAAACTGTCCATGAAGCAATCTGCTAGTAACGGACCAAGAGGGGATCCCTTGGCTATGTTATTGGTCTACTACTAGCAGCTTATGGACTTTGTGATAAATAGAATCAATCAACTGTATATCATTTGCATCCAGTCATTATTTGCATGGTCATTAGAGATGTGGTTTGTCGTAGTAACTTTCATTAGTGCTGGACGGCTCTTATCTCATTTCACTACCTCTTGATAATGTTTCAAATATGGAGAGTCAATCAGAAGTATGCTAATGAGAAGGTCAGTCGATGGCAGTCAGAAGTGACCTGAAGGAAAACTACGTTTTAAGAAAAGGGTCGATAATCCACCAATAAATCTTGAAAATTGACCTTCGCGAATTAGTCAAATGATGCAATTCGACTTCAACTGTTGGTAGATAACTACTGTAGTTACCATGACATCAGGTTGATTTGCTGAAATAATATGTCAGATCATGTAAATGTTTAAGCAAAATAGAGTTGTTATAATAAGAGGGCTCATGTGAAACACTTTGTAGTAAAATCGTCCAGTCTGTAAAATCACACACAAAATAGTTCTCTATATCGTCGGCCGAATTATGATTTAACTGTGTGACTACCTAATGAATGAATGATGGATTCCGAGTGGAACTAATTCGCTAATCAGTCCACTTTCATTTTAACACACCTGTGGATTAAATCACTAATTATCCCGCATCTGTTTCAATTTACTCTTCATTTAGAAAGTGTGTGTGTGAAATGCTGCAACAATAAGATAATATCAATTCAAAGATAAGAACATTCTGAATTTATTTCGTTTCTGGAGATTATTAGATTTTCTAATTCACAACACAAATTCATTGTCTTATTGTCAGTAATTATCTAAATAAGGTCGTAGTGTGATATGGATATT